ACAGTAGTTCTCCGGTTTTTTCTAACACCTCTTCATTTCTAATCCTCTCTATCCACGGTATCCTCATAATTCGCCAGTAACACCACATTTCGAACGCTTCTAGCCTTTTCCTTTCCGCCGTGCCCACTGTCCATGTTTCACACCCGTACAACGCCGTGCTCCAAATATACACCTTTAAAAATCTTTTTATTGAAGGCGACTCTACCCTGCGCTATCATGTGCTTTACATCCCTACTACTCCTTCCGTCCTGACTTATCTGACTTCCTAGATACGTAAAATGGTGTGTTTTACTTGGGATACCATAATGTGGTGGTTTCCCGTTGCCTTCTACATTACAGTATTGTGCGCCAGAGTGCCATACCGATCCTAGTGATCTGTGCCACCCTGAGTATTGAAGTAGTTATAGGAAAACTCCTACTTAGTTAATGTGTGCTAACTGTCTAAAAAATGACCCTTAATTATATTTTTTGTCTGTCTGCTTGTACGGAGTGCTCTTCGAAATGGCTCAACCCTAAGCCGATTTCGATGGGATTCTGCAAACACTAAGAGAAGGTGATCAGGAGTGATCTAACCCATTTTTGTTTATTATTGATTGGTTATAGCACAAGACTAATAAACAGTAAGGTTTGAAGTTTAATTTAAATTTTGTCATTTAATTACGATTGCTTATAGGTTTATTGTATGTGTAAGTGATTTAAACGTTTAGCTAAGGGCACAATAGGGAGAAGTTTCATAAGTTCTACTTTCACAAACTCCAATTCACGAGAGACGGCACCAGGTAGGTATACAAGGAGTAGCGATGCTTCCTTCTGCACAATAACTTTTGCACTTTTATTGTCGTGCTCCTAAGCAGTTTCTGAAACCTCGTGGGAATTTGCATTCATATAAAACTTCGAGCTATTTATCACCATTCTTCGGGATTACAGTAATATCACGCCAGGCATAATCCACCAGGGGTTTCCCTAATTGACTGAATACACATTCATTTACTCGTCCGTTTGAGGAACCGAATTTGAATTAGACAGAAATGGATGAGTCCCAGAAAGGCTATCACTCAGCCACCGTTCCACAACTGTCTAATATAATTTCTCTTTTCCTTTCTACTCGAACAGATTTCTTGTCGAAATTTTATTTTCTTACAAATAAAGTTTCCTTTTCTTTATCAACGTAGCGAAAAAAAAGGATATACACCAAAGCTCCTTTAACGTATAATATATATATGTTCGCCAACACAAAACCCACATTACGAACTCAATCAATTTCAAACAGGATAAAAACATTGTTAACAAGAAAGGAAGTCGGGTAAAAAAGAACAAGTCGAACATTTTAAACAATTTTTTCAACAACAACAACAATCAGACACGCACAACGTTTCAAAGATAACTTATGTTTAACATAAATAGGTAATTTCTTTTTAGTCATTTGTGCTAATACATATTAGGTATAAACAAGTAGTTTGTTTGTTTACCTGCATGTATGGGGTAAACTCTGGAATCACTACATCAATTCTAAAAGTTCTTTGAACAATAATAGAAAGCTACACTATCCCTGATGTGTACATTAACTACAAGCATGTATGTGATGAAATCAATATATCGATTACCGACGGCGTTTTTTCATACAATCGTAGCTGTATAGGAGCCGCGGTCTGTAATCAGACCAGAATGACACATAAATGACCGCTTAACAAAAGGATTTTGTGAATTTTAAAGAAATATTCGGATTATTCTGGAGAAATTCGATGGCTGTATAAATAGGCTTTTGGGTTACAACCGTAGTCAATTAAAATATAAACAGGTGCGAATACTCAGTTACGTAGTAAACAAGTAGGTACTCGTTTAAGTGACTGAAGTACTGTTATTGTATAAAATAAATTAAAAAATATGTAAAGTGGTTTTGATGTTAGAAAGAAGTACACAGAATTATGTGGTAAGGAGGGAAACCAAATGCGGGAAAATGTGGGAGGAAGCGAGTGAGTGGTGAAACACGAGGGGAAATTAGAAAATCAAGAAGAAAAGGATACAAGAAGGGAAATATGTAGAAAAAAGTTAATAGATATAGGTAGGAAAAATAGACACGACAGAGAGAGAGGCAATGCACTAAGGTTGTTAAAAATTAACTAGGAACAGTTGATGGAGTAGAGAGAAAGTAGTGAGAATGAGATGTAGAGGAAACATGATTTAAGAAAACTAGGGAAATCTAGGTATGCAGTGGAATTGAGGGAGTTCTTATGGAGAGATTGGCAGGGAGACTTGGCTCCAAGTTATTTAGAAAGCGGGAGGAGTATCACTGTTTGGGTTAGAGTGAGAACAGAGAATAAGTGTCTAGGGTGCAAATACTGACTCAAAGAAGTGGACGAGGAAGGGGGCTGTTTGTTTGGTCAAATACGGAGTTATTTATAGGGATGGGATGAAAATTATGTATAGAGGGTGAAATGGGGTTAGGTAAAGTGGGAGGGAAGCAGTGATGTATGGTGTTTTTAATTGTCAGAAAATTGAGTTCTTTTGTATAATCTGTAGAATAACTTTTTGTTTCAGTAGGGCTTATACGTAGACTTTTAATCCGAAATCCCAATACGTATAAATTAGATCGGTGTTACCGTGAAAATTACTACCCCACGCCCGGCGAAAAGGATACCACTCACTAATTTCTAATAAAGATCCTATTACCTTTGAAAAATACTCCTGCACCAGTGAAAAATAGTTAGTCAAATTACACACTATCAAACAAATATTTTCAGATTACAAATTAAATTTTAGTTTTGTCTAGTATCTAGCTATTTGCAGTAGTTAATATTCAAATCAGTACCTGTGTAATTAGTACGTTATAAGATAATAATCTGATATTACCGTAATAATTACCTTTATGTAACTTGCCTGTATGACAATGCTTATACAAACCTGTTCTACTATATTTTTATTGAAACATATATCTTAGCCAAACTTAATCTAACGTAGCTTATAGTTAATACTCGTAATGATCATGCGAATTAAGCAAATTATTAATCACTGCCGTTGAAATCCTTCAAGTGGGTTACCTTTTCCCGGTGTTTCAACTCAACAACGCTCACTAACCGATTATTTGAAATCTTAACAAAGACGTTTCTCGCTCTCGTCTTAATAATCCCTAAACGAACCTTGATAATTATAACGTCATGTGTCATATATCCATTAGTTCGATGCGAAAATAGGTAAGAATAGCTAAAAGCATTTAGATTTATCACTGTCATCGAAATTAACAGTTGTTGGATGTAGTGTAATGCTGAAACCGTATATGCAGCTATTAATATCAAAGCCGATATAATGGAATCACTTCTTATAGGTACGCAGTTAGTCTATCATCAGAAGTTCATCATTTTGACGTATCTTTGTTCCAATGTCAATAATTTTGTTGTTTTCGTCAATGCTAATAAGGAATACGCATTCACAAAACTAGGGTTAGAAGCCATCTGACGCTTTACAATTCTTTCAAAACCATGTTCCCTATTTTCATATGAAACATAAAAATTGAAGACAAACAACTAGAAGAGATCACCTATTTACATCTATTTCTATATACATCATGTAATTTTATACCGTTTCATCATCATCATAAGGTCGTCGGTCCTAAGACTGGTTGGACACGCACCACGCACAGCGAGTAGGTAAACTGATGCCGTCCAGCATCATCTGATATTCTTGTGCTTTGGAAAAATTAAAATTTGTATTCCTCAACGCCCTCCCTTCAATTCACGCACAGCATTTACACGCTAGAGGACCCGTTTGAATTGCTTTATCAATAAGGCTAATAAAGATACGTTGTTCATAACGTTCAACGGTTCAAGCGGGGAACGGTTCCCGTAGGAGATGCATTTTATACGATGACACAAGGAGCTTGTTCGCGATCGTACGTCGTTCGATGAAAAATGCAAATAAGATCGTAAACGCTTATCAAACATGTGCTGACAGCGAACAATTCCCGTTACCTGTTCGAAACTGCCGCGAACATCATCTACACCTAAAGACCGTAACTATGCGGTTGGAATTGCTATTAAAGTCGTAATTAAAGTTCCTCTATTAGTGCATGACTAACAAGAAGCACGTAAACCTAATAAAGTTCCTGTGTAACGAGCTTTTTACCTTCTTAGGTTGTAAACTTTTTAAAATATTATCGTCGAAAGGAATTGTCATCTAAACAACGACAACCATCTAAAAGAAATTTACCATCTCAAAATTTTTTTTAGAAAAGGCGTAACACATTCAAATTGCATTTTTTGTTCATTTTATGACATATATATATGTATATAATTACTCTATCTTCTTTTATTTGAGTTGGTTCTCATTATTAGGTTTCGAGCCCATTGTCCCCCATACAGAAAAATTAGTTCTATGGGATCGTCGATGGTATTTAACACCTATTTAGGATCAACGCAAGCGAAGCCGCGGGGAAAATCTAGTTGTAATATATTTTTTTCTCTTGTTCTCCCTATGCCTTCCATTTATTCAACAAGAAGTATACTTGCAAAAAGCACTCTAAGGGATTATATCTGTCATTTATTTCATAAACGACGAAGCAACTGCTTTATATGAATCTTTGTTTTTATTTCTTAGTTATAGTATCTACCGCAATTTTTCAACTTAATTCACATACAAAGCAAACTTCGGGATGAAGATGAAAAGATCACATTTTATTGGTTAACAAAATGAATATAAATAAAACCCTAAATCTCGATTACAATTACGACCCTAATCTTCTATTATAACTAGTAGGTAACTTATTAAAAAGTGAAAAAATGAGTTTTTGATGGAGTGAATAAAGTAAGACTAAAACGACTCAAAAGTTTACAGATTGTTGTATCTCCCAAAATTACTCTGATTGTTATTTAATTGCAATAATGTCCAAAAAGGCTGGACAGGAAAAGAACTGAATTACAATTTCGATTTGTGATCCCTATTACGATCAAAAATATTTTTGACGTTTGTTTGTTCCATTTCTTATAAAAATTTCTTTTCTTTTTCAGATAATCCCCGATTTAAAGAGCCAATTAGAAATATTACAACGGCGGTCGGAAGAGAAGCAATTCTCGAGTGTTTAGTTGAAGATTTAGGGGGTTACAAGGTAAGAACCTACTGTTGACAGACAGCTACTTAGTGTAAATTACTTGCAATAATAAAGGGATTCTAAATGTCGTTAAGTGATTAAATCCTATAAGTTAAAAAAGAAAAATCATTCTGATGTTTTGTCCTTCAAGATGGACCAACCAAGATTATTGGATAAATGAATAAAAATTAAGCAGTAATAAAAAAATGTTTTTTAACTTTCAATAATAAAACTCGATTCTGACTGATCCGCGAATGCTGAATTTGAATATCACATTCACTATGATATAATTTCAATATTTCTCGCTGAAACGTATGAACCTTTTGACTTTTTTATATCAAGTGCTATTGGAAAAATTCTTTCATGTTCTTATTAAGCATGTTAGAATCTATAGGAATCGACTTTTTAATAATCAAAATCGGAGAAGAATTAGCGATAATAGCCAAATCAATATTGGCCTCTAGTGGAAGGAAAGCATGAAGGCAATGCTACACGGCGCGTTGAGCGGTAATCCACGCGCAATGTGTGCCTACACTCAAAACAATACTCGGTGTGAAGATTGAAGTCCACCCTACGTGTAATGCCCCTTTACACGAAGCGTGGATCGGCATTCCACGCGCCCATTGCCGCCGCGCCGTGAAAAGAAGCCAAGACTACGCCAGGACGCACCAGTCCGCTTCGGACCGCGCCCAATCCATTACACGAAGCGTGGATCGGCATTCCACGCGCCCACTGCCGCCGCGCCGTGAAAAGAAGCTAAAGACTACGCCAGGACGCACCAGTCCGCTTCGGACCGCGCCCAGCCCATTACACGAAGCGTGGATCGGCATTCCACGCGCCCACTGAAGCCGCGCCGTGAAAAGAAGCTAAAGACTACGCCAGGACGCACCAGTCCGCTTCGGACCGCGCCCAACCCATTACACGAAGCGTGGATCGGCATTCCACGCGCCCACTGCCGTCGCGCAGTGAAGAGAAGCTAAAGACTACGCCATGACGCACCAGTCGCAATCGGAAACATTTTTTAAATAAATATAAACTTAATTAATATTATTTGGATACCAAATAAGTATACAATATCGTATAAAATTACTGTTTACAATCAAGACTACCTTTAATTATTAGATTTACTTCTTTCTCTGCACATACTTTAGCTGTCGAAATTACCAACGTATAATGCACAATAAAAAAAGGCATATCGATTATTTTATATATCCGCCAGAACTAAGTGATGATAATTAATCACCTTGACCAACAAAGAAGAAGGTATTGTTAAATTGCTGACCTTAATGTCAACGGTCATTTACGGTTCACTTAAACAGCTATATTGACACAAAACAAAATCTACATTTTTACATACCACCCAATTAATCTTTCGCTTTGTCGTTCTGATTTATTGTTCGTTCTTTTTGAGGAAGCACTCAAGTACCTCTGTAATTATTGTTTTATATTAGTTCGAGAATACTCAAAAGATACAAGACACTCTTTGAAAAGAATATTCCAACAATATTCTTGGTCAGATAAATAATTAGGTTAGATATTCAGTTTCTAATTTAGCTACTAAACAATAACTTTGGAAATTTTGTTTTTGAAGCCTATTTTTAATAAGACTGCTTTACAATATTGTTGCAAATTCATTTTGAATTCATTACGTCCTTCTTTGTCTCCTGTTAACAGTAATTGGTTTTAACGAAGTCCTATTCAATCGCGTACAAAAGCAATAAAGACGGAATTTCAATGGGAGGATTGTACAGTAAGCTGTCAAAAATACGACTTAATGAAATCTTGATTCTGTAGTTTATTTCATGTGTTATACAGTTTTCTTTCTGTTCTTGTATATATTATAAAAAAATGGCACATTTTGATGAAAAAACCCTTTTTGCCTACTATTTTCATATCAAATTTTAGACAACAACGATAAATTACCCTACTTTTAAACATTAAATTCTGTAAATTATTTAAGGTATTTAATGGGGTTTAATTGTTACTTTATGAGCTGTATTTTGGACTTATTTTGAGAAGATGACTGTAGAGGCTCCACGAACGTCGCACTCGAGTTTATTTTCACATTGACGTTTCAAACGCGTTCAATTATTAGTCCAATTTTTGTCATTCTCCTTCAACTCCTACTTCATATTTGCGCTCTCGAAATTTCCAGCCATTAAATATAGCGAAATTGCTTGCCGGTTTAAATGAAAGTTTCCTCCGTCATGATAAAAATTTAATATTGAGCAGACGACTATAAGCAAGCACCTGACTTAATTGTTGCTTTTTGCTACCACTCGCGCTCGCTAGGAACAAGATGTAGCCTAAATTAATATGATAAGCAAACACGCCGTTTAATTACCAACCCTTGCACCACGTTTTTGTCTCGGCATCCCTTCAAGGGAAACCTATTCATAGAGTTACGTTGACTAATACATAAAAAATCTTCTCGGAGCTAGCAACTTGAGAGAATTAAAACGCAAGCTAAATTAAATCAGTAAAATAACGTCAAGTCTTGAAGAGCGTTAATAATTAAGTATATCAACATCAACTTGTTATTGGCAGGACCCTCCTTTTAATATTTAATGTTGTTGTTTTGTTCGTAGGTGGCCTGGCTTCGCGTCGACACTCAAACAATTTTAACAATACACAGTCACGTGATAACAAAGAATCATCGAATAGGTATTACTCACAGTGAACATCGAACCTGGTATCTTCATATACGAGAGGTTCGAGAAACCGACAGGGGATGGTACATGTGTCAGATCAACACCGATCCAATGAAGAGTCAGGTCGGATTTTTAGAAGTCGTAGGTGAGTTTCAAAATTGTGAAGTCGTCATCATCATCATCATAAGGTCGTCAGTCCTGACTGATTGGACACGCTCCTCCACTTTTCCTATCCTTCGCTAATCTTTGCATTTCCCTAAAGCTAGAGCAACCCATATCCTTAACTATTTGCGAACAGTAATCTAATCTAGGATCTAGGTCTACCTCTACACCTCCTAACTTCCGTTTCTGCCTCTAATATGTCTCTGACTGGACCTTAATGCTTGAGAAGGTGTTCTACCAAATAATCTCGCCTATTTCATATTGACTTCCACAGAGTCCTCTGTTCTCTTACTCTTTCTAATACCTTATCATTTCTAACCTTGTGTATTCTCGGTACCTTTATCATTCGCCTGTAACACCACATTTCGAACGCTTCTAACCTTTTCATTTCCGCCGCGCCCACTGTCCATACTTCGCATCCGTACGGCGTCGTGCTCTAAACATACACCTTTAAACAACCTATTTCGAATTTCTAAATTAACCGTTCGCGAGCATAGAAGTGACTTCTTTTTATTGAAGGTGACTCAACCCTGCTATAGGGTTGTTCGGATAGTCATTTCGTTTTCTTTTTGTGGAAATGAAAGACAGTTTTCGTATAATAAACAAATACTTTATTAAATTATATATTGACCGTTCTGGTCCAACACCTTATGCCATCTTTCTGGTAGTAGCATAATTCCACGCTCTTAAAATTTTTGGTCTTTGCTGGCAAAAAACTGATCGAGGAGGTTTTTGACCTCCTCATTTGAGGTGAAGGTTTTACCGTCTAAAAAATTTTGGAGTGACCGGAACAAATAATAATCCAATGGTGCCAGGTCTGAAGAATATGGTGGGTGTAGCATTGTATCCCATT